GTCAACTGTCAAAGGGGGATCGTCTCTAAAACAAACTCTAAAAAGACCATATTTCCATTGTGCTAATTTTTAATTCAGTGAGAAAAACTTTTGGAAACCCCTATATTAAAAACTTTGTTTGGTTTATAACTCTATAAGTCTCTCGGATGGCTACATTTTGTTTTTTTGCTGAATATTTGTAGTTGTGTACATAAGAGAAGCGTGGACAACTTGTATTATCTCCCGATGGTGGGAGCTGTAGTGTGATCTGTCAAATTTTAAGTAAAGTTATTTTTGTAGGATTTTTTTTTACTGATAATGAAATATATGATTCCAGACGTCAATAATATTATTTCAATTTATGTGTATTGGGTCAAGGACGGCTAAGGGGAGGGACTATGGGGACCCACTACGATTTATGAGCCTTTTTATTCAAAAATATATACTAAAAAAGGAATGACTAAAGGCAATGCATTATTATATGATAGAAACTTATTTTAATTAAATTTGAATTATGTATTGGGTTCAGTCACTAGTACTGTCTCACTTTCAATAATTTTGTTTACCAAAATAACTAATATTACTAGTACGTACTTGTTCATAGCTACATTCCTACCTACCAAACGAAGGTGTTTGAAAAATAAATACAAACTTTTATCCAGCCACAACGGCATGTCACGTAAGATTTAAAAATAGTTAATAATAACAACAAAAAAATAACGCACTATCATGAACATAAACATTGAAAAATCAAAAAGCACGTTCAATGAGAAGGCTGACACTCAAACTCATCGATAATTTTTTTAATGTTTGCAGTATAATTTGATACAGCCATTCGAATACAATTATCCAAATGTTCATATGTAAGTCGATCACGATATTTGTTTTTAATAAACTTCCTATTGGAAAAAGAAGATTCACACAAATAGGTTGAACTGAATAATGCTTTCACTTTCAAGGCAACACGGCATAGAACTGAATATTTGTCTTTACTTACAATAGGCCAGATACATTTGGTACTTGAGACTAACGATTTTAAGGCTAAATCATTTTGAAACTCAAATACTTCCATTTCTGTTGCAGCGATGTCTTCGCCAAAGTTCTGCATAATACAAGTTGCAAACTGTTGGATATCAATTTCCATAAAGGGTGAAACAACAAACTGCGCTACTAAAGCCATTTCGTTGAAATCCTTAAAACGATTTTTGAAGTTATTCTTCAGGGTAGAAACTATTTCTACACGATATTTGCTGTCATAGGGTTCTAATGGATTTTAAGATATTTTTTCTGAAAGAACAGGAAAATGTTTGGCATCGCTGTTAATTAGGTTTTCCCAAAACTCCAGCTTTTTGATAAATGCTTTGATATCAGAAATCATTTCCGCTAGTTCTTTGTCTCTTCCTTGAAGCTGCAAATTAAGTTCGTTTAATTTTTCTGTAATGTCAACGAGAAAACCAAAACCTTTAAGCCAGATTGAATTTTCTAGTTCCGGAGTCGGTTCATCGCGTTGTTTGAAAAATTGAACTATGCTAGATAGGACGTCATTAAAACGTTTCAGCACCCGTCCTCTACTTAACCATCGGACTTCAGAGTGAAGGAGTAGGTCCCCGTATTGACAGTCAACTTTATCGGCCAAGGTTTTGAATAATCTTCTTTGTAACGCTTGAGCTCTAATCTTGTTCACAATTTTTACCACCAGTTTCATAACGTTGTTTAGTTTCAGGAAATTTCCACATAATGCTTGCTGATGGATAATGCAGTGGTAATAGAGAAATTGCGGAAAAGTTTCATCTTTACGACATAACGCCACCAGATCCTTATCACAACCCACCATAGCTGGAGCGCTATCGGTTGTCAAGCCTACTATTTTCGATATTGAAATTTTCTCGGAAGAAATAGTATTTTTTAAATGAGAAAATAACTCCTGTCCAGTAGTGTGTCCTTTCAGTGGAATAAATTTCAAAAGATCTTCTTTAATTGTAAAATCACTAAAAACCATCCTGACGAACACGGCCATCTGGGCAGTGTCAACGACATCTGTTGATTCATCCAGTTGAAGTGAAAAATAAACATAGTTATCTAAGTCAGTTCTTAACTCATAACTTCTACACGTCTCATCACTGTATTAGCAGAAAGTTGCATAGATTTTATAGCTGAAACTATCTCGTCTTTATTTCTAAAGTTGGCAAATAACAAATCAGCAGCTTCTAAAAACGCCTGTTTTATCATTTCCCCGTCTTCATAAGGTTTCTTTTTTTGTGTAATTATCTGGGACACACGGTACGATGCCTAGTTTTCGTTTATTCCATTTTTGAATATTAGCTATGTTTCCCAATTTCTCTGCAACGTTTCGACAGTTTTTGTTCTAGCTTCTTTCTTTTCAGCTATGTTCTTACTTTGATCTTCATATTTTTCTTCAATAAACAAGTCTGTGGGGTATAATTCCGTAGATAACGAGGCTGATTTCCATAGATATCTTTTTAAATCCTCTGCAGATTCTGATCACCATCGTTTTTTGTAATTGTGCTAACTTTTTTCGGTTAATTTTCCTATGCAAACCATTTATTCAAATCTCTGATGCTTACAGTAGGATTAACGGAAAATAATCCAAAATAATCTGACAATATCCTTCTAAATTTCCTTTTTTCCCCGACACATTGATTTAATAGAAACATAATTATTCGAAATTATTTAGTTTGTATTATAATAATGAACCAAACAACCACTCCCTATACTTGCTGGTACCCAACATCGAATCATTCAACGGCGTGAGCAGTAGGTATCTATCGGGATAGCCCGGTAAGCAGGAATAGAAGCGTAGAAGCTGGATTGCGTGGTTTCAACCGTCATGGCAGGAAATCAAGAATAATGCGGACATGAAACTGCACTCGCTATAGACTCCCGCGGGACCGGGAACGGTAGAGTGTATAGAGTGATCATCCTCAGCAGCTATATCGATTACCCAAGTGATTTTTAACACGTTGTTTAATAGGGATAACGCGATAAGGAATCGCATATATGTGCAATATACCTGTAAATAGAAATTGTATAATAAATTGACCACAGAGCGTTCATATTTGATAATACTTGTTTTAAATTATACGAAGATGTATATAAAGTTTTTTTCTAATCGTAGCAGCGAGAAAAGTGGTAAAAATTGTCTTTTATGAGCTAATTCTTGAACCTTAATTTTCAACAATTTGTTTGATGACAATCATTGTATTTATTGAGTAAATTAATTATAAAGACACATAAGTTTGACGTTTGTATTTTCTTTTATCATTTACTAGGTTTGTAGAGAAATAAGAACATAGTTTGGCCATTATAAAAACTTAATTGGCGCCCTTTTAATTTGTCTACTACAATTTTTGTTTTTAGTC